GGGGGGGGGGGGCTTGAATCCACCTCTGCTCAAAACATTCTTTATCCAGAATAGTCATAATCACGAAAAATGGACATGAAAAGCCAGATCACATTATAAAAACAAACAGCAATCACTAATACATACATCAGGAGCCGACTCGATGGAATTTAATGTCATACCCAGGGAAAGGCACAGATCTGTTTTGAAAGGTGGAGGGGAGGGCATTTTGTGATTTCACAACCACCTCAGCCCCATCATGGCTGGGGCTGAGGTGAGAAAATTTGAGGAAATAGTACCTCTCGAGATGTCCGGAAGTGACACTTTTATATAGTAAAATCCATCATCATCACATCACCATTATAGTCAAAATGAAACGCCAACAAATGTCTCATGATCTTTTATCAGGGAATTACATACTATCCAGGACAACTTAGGCCTAACTATAGTTTACTAAGCTTTTTATACTATATTATGATCAACGAACTTTTTTTCGCATTTAGCACAATTTTTTTCACTTTTTATTGCTATTAATATTACTATCAATAATTACTATCGTCATCATCATCATCATTGCTATTATTATTATTACTAGGCCTATTAGTAAAAGTATTATTAAACAAAAATTTAAAGAAACTTTGGAAAAGGATAAAAACGAAATTAAACCACAGTATCGCATTTCTATCTTAAAAGACCTGGCCTGAGAATTATGGATTTAAGATGTTTTTAAATCACGCTAGGCCTATGTGTTCTATTAGGCCTATGTATAACGTGTACTGATGCATATTTACATGATTTAAAAGTATTCATTTTGAGTGATCCTAGGAAAGAATTGTATTGGCTCAAGAATAAGCTTTAACATTTTAAATCTGTGTACAAAGGGGGAGAGCCGCGGCTCCCACGGCTCCCCCCCCCCACCCCTTGGATACGTCCCTGACTTCATAATTTGTTGCTGTTGCAATCCCATTTACGAATTGATGAGCTCGATAAAACCGCCTTGCATGCGCCGGTAGTGTGTACAACTAATCTTAGTCAGTGCACCGTTCTTATCGCTCAAGCAAAAAATCAAATATGGTTGAATGATGTTTGTATTTCAAAATACCGTACACTGAAATATTTGTGTTGGTCTTTAAATAAAGTTTGGCAAATTCTACAGCGTTCTGTCACTTGTTCACATCCTCCGTTCCGTATCTGTCTACACTTGAGGGAACTTCAGCACTAGTGCCTGCTAAATAGTGGGGCCATATAAAATCAAAACTGGACAAAAGTACTAGCAACCAATGTTAGAATTAACTAGGTCAGACCAAAGCGAAGGAAATTTAAAAAAAAATACACTTGAAACGCTGCTTAAGGTACCGTATTCAATTCTCAACCAACAGAGATCCACTAACGCGTTGGAGAAAAAAAAACACGGTCTACAAATACAAGGAAACAAATTAAAATAGCTTCTGTTGTTACGAGACACTACCTTCAGTACATTGATATAATGGCCGTATACCGGTATTTGTATCTTGGACGACATTTCTATGGTAACCTGGGGTCGTGGGAATGTATGGGAAAAAACGGTCTGAAGGAGTAAAAGGTTGCCGACCGTAGGTTCAGGTCTTCATTAAAACATGAATAAAAATGAAAATAAAAATAGTGGCTAAATGACATACCAAATAAATAGGAATTAATAATAATATTTTAGTTTGAATTTCCTCTTGTCTATTTTTATTCAGCGGTGGCGCCAGCGGGGGCTTAAGTCCCCTCTGTCGGAGGGGTCAAGTCCCCTCCCCCCAACCGGCCAGAGCTCGTCGGGCAGTCGAACCAAAAAGACAAGGAAAAGGGCTACGCCAAGCCAACGGATGGAACTCTCACACTCTGAGAGTGCCTTTTCCAGACATCCAGAGGTCCCTAGTATTTTAAAAATATATCATTTTGGATGGGGACACCCCTCCCAAACCCTCCCCCAGCTCGTGCAATTTATTATCTCATGACTCAGAACCAGTCTGATAGC